TGGGTGTGTGTGAAAGAAATTCAGATGTAACCCCCTTTGTAATCATTAACATTTTCATAAGTAACTGTATATATATATATATATATATATATATAACATACAATAACAACTAGTGAACATTTTTATCAATTCAGGAACCCGATCGATCCTCGTAACCAATGGAAACCGCTCGGCTATCAGTGTGGCTTGTGTGTAGCCTACTGTAACGTTAACGCCATGCTACATAACAGTCGGTAACATCCGGTTAGCGCTCTAGCTAAACCTCAAAAGCCTACAAACTCTCGTGGAATAACAGTTACGTGAATTACACGACCACACGTTAAGAATAAGAAACGGCCACAAAATGACACAAAACATTCAGCGTGTGTCTGTGTGTGAAACAGGCTAATAACTGTCCTACCTCACAGAAACCGAACGGTAATGAAAACGTCCGTAAACACACCGCTGCCTCACATGTCGGTCGCCACGGCTCTTCTGGAGGAACGGAAAAAAACATTTATTTTATCTCTCGGCTCCGCTTTTCAGCTCGGTTCCCCGGGTAAGCGAAGTGAAGAGAAAACAGAGTTCATAACATAAAGGTTGAGGGAGGAGGAGGAGGAGGAACCCTTCTGTGGGGCCTGAACAGCTGTTGGTTTGAACACACCATAGCTCCAAAACACATGATTCTTCACTACATTTACATTTAGTCATTTAGCAGATTACAAATGTTTTTCTCAGTAACTGATTACAGTTACATTTATTTTGTAATTAAATTACATAATTTAATTTTGTAAATAAAAAAATTACATGTAACTAGTTACTCCCAGACAGTTTATAAAACACATATTAATGACATATTCTGCATGACAATTCTGGATCCCTTAATTCTATCCAATAAACATAACTACTAGCAGTAAACAGAAAATTAGGAGTTTATTGAGGGAAAACGCTGAATCTGTTTCCTAATCTAACGAGATACATTTATAAAAGGTTGAGGGAGGAGGAGGAGGAGGAACCCTTCTGTGGGGCCTGAACAGCTGTTGGTTTGAACACACCATAGCTCCAAAACACATGATTCTTCACTACATTTACATTTAGTCATTTAGCAGACGCTTTTATACAAAGCGACTTACAAAATGAGGACAATAGAAGCAATCAAAAGGGCAACAACAGTGTTGGGAAGGTTACTTTGGAAATGTAATAGCTATTTTTTGTATGGACCTCACATAAAAAAGGATTTCTCCATTCTCTCTCTCGCATTGATTACTCTGATCCAAACCGTTTGGTGGAGGCGCGGAGAGCACGCGAGCCGAAGTATTGCCAATCACAACTAACCGATTCATGATTTAATAGAGACTTAATTATCGAATGGCGAATTCGGAAATAATCGCTTTAGTACATTCGGCAGGCAATTATACAATAACAATATTAAAATAGCAGGCCAAATCGGCTGCCAGGCCACCGGGAATTGTCCCGGTTCTCCCGATGGCCAGTTCGCGCCTGATTTCCACAGACACGCAGAACGTGCAGGATTCATATATTGTCTTTTCGCGGCTTCAATATTCACAGACACTAGTCCATATCGTGTTTTGATTCAAGTGTACTGACCCATTTTTTGATTTATTCGTCCAAAATGTGGCATATTCCGTCCGCGTTAGGCTATAGGAATTCCGTTTTTATGACTGGATTCTACGAACCAGTCTGTGTTTTCCGCATA